CTTACTAAGGCCAGTAGATAGTATACTATAGGTACTGCCTGTGTGTGCTTTTTAAGGAGTCGCACCTAGTATGCACTCCCAATGTGTGTGCACCTCTACTAGAAAGTATTAGTCAAAATAAGAAAGATTTACCAAAAGACCTTCGCGAAATTCATAAATATTTTGGTATGAGTAATTCGAGTCAAAAACTACGAGATAACAGGCTATTGTCAGAAATACTTTAGCTTTATATTCGAAAAAGCCAGAATCTGTAAATATATGCGATTTCATGATGAAAGACAGTACTAATTCCTAGTGGAAGTGTTTGATTTTAAGGTGCCCGCATTCTCCTAGCATAAACAAATATCCAAACGATAATTTCAAGAAAGCCGACAAACGAGCCACTATTTTAGCTTTATACCGTATGGTAAGAGTCTTCTGTGTGATCTAGCTTCCGGTACTATAAAATGTTTAAAGGTACCGAGTACGTTATTACCAGTTTGGGCAATATAATAATGTTTTTATGGCGCAGGCTGAAGGTAAACATATTTAATGAAAGCAAGCAGCACCAATATAAAGAGGAAGGTGAGTTCGTTTGTGACAAAAAAACTATCATTATCTTTAAGGGCAGTGCATAGACGGGCCAAGTCTCCCTATTATTTCCTAGTTTCGATTGTGTGAAAAATGAAATACGTGGAAATTCATCAGCAAAACACTTCAATAACATATTTGATGTGGATGGCGGTTCGGATCATATTTTTCGAGTTATATAAACACGAAAAGTAGTCGCCAAAAATAGCGACCACCCGCAACATCGGTCTGCGAGAAATCTGATTTAACCAACTGAAAACACTTAGTTAATAACTTCCGTCTTTGAAAAAAGAACGAACGAGCACTTATCAAGCATTCAATACCCTCCAAACTATCTTAATTTGTAGTTGGTGAGTGAAAAATATTAGCTAAGCTAGCTTTTACGGCAGTCGACTGAAATATACAGTAAATTCCCTTTTTCTTTAAATGTCAACCGAAATTTTGAAATGTGTTTTCGATTCGAAGATATTCAATAAGTATGGTCGTAATATTGGTTCCCGGACAACTTTGCCTCAATGCAATCACGAAAAAATTCCGGCTTTGAAAGAACTGCTTTTTCACCACCTGAAAAAGTATATTCTTTAAGAAAATTTGCTTGAGTTATATGAATTTGTCTACTTTATTTTCACGGTTCTTATAAATTCCAATATAGTTCATAGAAAAAGTGCACAAATATTATTTAATGTATTCAATTGGTAGCAAATTGCGCTTTCTTTTAAGCTTTCTATTTGAAGAAAAAGTAGCTTTCGGACCCAAAATGTTCTAACTACGATAATTTTTAAGACTACAAAATGCACATTCATAAAGCAAGGTATGTGCCCATTTATCAGTGCTGCGTATTGATCATAAAACTTGATCAACATCCATAGCGAAATTTTATGATAACTCCATGACCTCTTCCTCAAACCTTAGGGAAATATTTATTTATTCTAACACAGAATGTAAATAGCATGTAGTTTGGAGACCTTGGATTCAAGTGTGACAGTCGGTAGGGCTCACAATTATTGGACAATTTCGAACCTTTTTAAAACCAAAAGTTACCCCTGGCGCAATTTTCTGCCGACCGAAACCAAGAAAGAATGCTTTTGCGCAGCTTTTATATAAGATATATTTGAATTTAGTAGGGATGTTAAAATCAATGAGAAAAATGTGAACTACTTAGGTGGCCATTTTTTGCGGAGCTCTGAAGTACAACTCCGTGATCGAAAAGGAATCATTATGATTCGTCTCATCTTCCTGCTGTCGAAAGCGCATCCATGATACTTTGTTTAAGCTGCATAGGGCGTTGAAAAGGGAATAGTAAAAACAGTGGTTTATCGATTAAAATAGATTAGATCGATTAAATTACTTAGTAAGCCACACGAAATTGCAAATGCAGGGCACATCGTTCGTACGTGCCAGTATCAAGAACTTAAAAAACGGTTACTTTACGGCGAGCACCTGGGGAGAAATCACCGGCTAAATTAACGGCACTGCCTCCAAAACTATCAAGTATGAATGAATGCAGGTGTTTCACCGATCTAGTCAAGGAACAGTTAAGTTCCGCTTTGCCAAGGGGCTTGCAACGCAAACCCTCACGACCGTCACATAGTGACTAAGTTGATATGATGAAGTGGATCCGAAAGGCTGATGACGGCTAATAAGCCAGAAATGGCCATTCCGGTCTCCCTCTGCTTTGACCGATGACGGCTAATAAGCCGGGTGCCAACCCTCGAGATTGGGTATGACTGGCTGATGACGGCTAATAAGCGTCCAGAAATGGCCATTCCGGTCTCCCTTTGCTTTGTCGGATCCACTTCATCATTATCAAGTATGTTATTGTGTGACCTTTGATCAGGCTAACTCTGCAGGTCTTAAATTACCAAAATCCATCTTTTAATCAGGTGGTTTATGCGCATGAAGCCAGTCCATGAACATTTCAGTCCTGCTAAACGGCTATAACCTCATCGAATGCCATAACATCGTTGAACCAGGCAGACTTCATTCAAGTGTCCATCTGTGAATGCGATGTCAATCGGAAACTTTTCCTAAACGTACCTTTGTTTTTATCTCCTTCTGCGGCTGAGGTCCGAAACGTGCTTTCCGTCAAAACGACATTTCCATTATTTTCACCCTATAATGATAACATCTGGACATCGTCGAAAGGATTGAAAAAGCGCCCATATCTTGCCCCTTTTAAAAAACTCCAGTTTTGTTGAAAATTCGCGTGCTATGTTCCAGGTGCTCTCCTTACAAAGCGTTGATTTAATTTCTCGACGACCTCAATTTTATGAATCGTGTACTCTGTCCAGATCAATTACTTTCAATACAAGCAGAACGCTGGAGCTAGGGAATAGTATTGAGTTCATATATTCGACCAGAATTATCTAACGTCACCGAATAAAAAGATCATTGAAGGCTGCTTTCATAGTTGGTCTCAAATGGTAATTGACAGAGTGACATTTCTCCGACCAACATCTCATCAGAAACGTTATTTATGGAATCTGTCTTCGAAAGTAACAAGCGTTGCACGATGTATTTTAGATAAGTGGTTCCATGTAAGTACTGAACTCTGACAGGAAAAATTACAGACTCTTGAATGTTTATTTTACTCCTGTCATAAATGTGCGTGAGAGATTTCCCTCGTGTCTGCACCAACTACTGTTCAACTGTTGCAATCGGCGATACCAACTCACGTACACCAAAGACTCGAGTCGTCTTCTCTCAATAACTTCCTGGGACTCGCATGTGTGCTCGTATTGGCACTGGCAAATTATCCAGCCCATCTATGGGTGCCAGATACAACCTGATACCCACTACATACTCCAGGCTATTGCACGTTTGGCTCGGACCTCAGATCAGTGAGAATGACATAAAGCTCCAATACTATGATATAAAAAACTCTAACCCAAACAAAAATATATGAGCAACGCAATCGGCATTAGCGTCGGCAGGTAACCAGATCTACACTGCATGCTGGTTCATTTGCCTTTCTGGATGAATAGCCTGAACTAGGAGGTTAGGTTGGAAACAAACCTCTTTGAGGCATATGCTTTCTTTCTATTTATGCGATTACGCTTATAATGAGCGCAGAGTTAAGTACACTTAACAAACGTTGGTGTAAACTGGTAGATTCTACAGTAATTAGTAAGAAGACAGTTTGGAAAGAAAGTTTTCCAATCACTGAATGAGACCGTGAAAAGTTACCATTTTAAAAGAGACCGTTGAGAACATTACTTCTTCCGCTGTCCGCATCACAATCACAACTTATCTATTGTTTAGCCCGCTGTAGGCTAAGTATCTGGTCTACTAGCCTGGAAGGGAATTATCCCCTAAAACGTCGTTTGGACAGTGAGAGCGAGTCAATAAACCTCTCTCAACTCAAAACCCAAACTAATTAAATCACAACATTTTAAGTCACTTAATTTCGGTGTTCTGAAAATGTTATAGCTTTGAAGGGAAAATTTTCACCCCAACAGTCTAGTATTATAATTTTAGAAAATTATTTTTAGATGTTTAACCCGAAAAGTGATTGAACAGTACTGCGCTGACAGTCTACGTATGGGATAATAGTATTATTCGGAGAGAAAGTGGAAGACAAGAGAACAATATATGTTATGTGGACTTATGAACCGATATTTCGACCATATTATTGCAGATTAGCGTAGTATTTACCACATGTGTAGACAGCGCTTTGCATGTCGTCTGCCTTTGATTTTTATCTCCTATAGGAAGACAATGAGAACGCCGTAGACAGTAAGCAGATGGCGCGATAAATGGAACAAGTAATTCTTTAGTTGGAACCAAAGAAACAGGAGAAAGGAGTTCATTGAAACAAATGAGTGGTAGACTGAGGAATTGGCTAAGTTTTCAGGAGCAGTTAACGATGCATGTATCTGTTTGTACGGAATTGCTACTATTCACTTGCCATTTCTCCTCTGGGCAAAATCTACCGCCGGAGTAGAGCCAACTGGCATGCAGGGTGTTGGGGCTGCGGCTAGGATAACCGGAAGCAAATTCCTCTCCTTCAGCAGGACGAAAAGTCGTCGTAATTCACCGAGGGCATTCGCCTGCATGAGAATGTAATTCTTGGCCAACAGAAGAGTTGCAATCTTGGAGAGTTTTCGCACTGACGGACTGTGACCGTAGGGAAGGGCGCTGCGAAGTTCATCCAGGGCTGCATTCAGATCGTGCATTCTTCGTCGTTCCCGCGCATTAATCGTCAGTCGGGGATAGGGCCCGGTCAAACTAGAAGCGATGCTGGCGGCGGCACTGTCGCCTGCAGCAGAAAGGCTGCTCCAAGAGGAACGCCGTGTGTATCTCCGGTAGACGCGTTGTGGTCCCGGGTTGGCCTGCTGAACGGCGTATTCCATAAAGGCCCGCGGGGTGCCGGATAAGGGCCTATCCAATCCCTGCGATGAGGCCACTTGTTGATCCCTACTATTGGCGTTGACTGGCAGGGCACTGTTGTCCTCCAACATCCAGTTCTTGCGGCTGAACATGACGAGTGTAATCT